CCCTTCCCGACCAACCGGTCCACGTGCGTGAGGTGGCCCGTCGCACTGCCCGGGACCCGATCCTCTGCCGCGTCCTGGACTGGGTGAGAAGGGGGTGGCCAGTGGTCACTGCGGGGCCAGATTTCACGGCCTACGCCTCCCGGAAGGACGGACTGTCGGCGCACAAGGGTTGTGTGATGTGGGGAGGCCGGGTGGTGATCCCTCCCCCCCTCCGAGAACGGGGGCTGGCTGCACTGCACGAGGCTCACCCGGGCGTGGTGCGAATGAAAGCCCTGGCTCGGAGTTATGTGTGGTGGCCAGGCCTCGATCAGGACATCGAGGAACAGGTGAAACAATGCCAGCCCTGCCAGGCCTCCCGGCCGGCACCGCCCAGACCGCCCGCACGCGCTTGGGAGTCCTCCCACAAACCCTGGTCCCGTTTACACTTGGACTTTGCGGGGCCATTCCAGGGACAAATCTTTTTCATCCTGGTCGACGCCTACAGCAAGTGGCTGGAGGTGGTGCCTGTGCCGTCAACCTCCTCCAAGGTGGCCATCAGAGCGATGCAGCACATCTTCAGCGCCCAAGGCCTTTCGGATACCCTGGTGATGGACAACGGAACAGCTTTTACCTCCAGCAAGTTCCAGGACTTCACGAGGTACCGCGGAATCCGCCACGTGAGGTCAGCGCCGTTCCACCCGGCTACCAACGGGCAGGCGGAGCGCATGGTGCGTAATAATGTAGGCCCTGTTAATATTTGCTGGTTTGCCATGCTAATAACACACATCATTGTGGAGAACATCTGGATGCAGAACATCTGGATAGAGACATGGTCTATATTCTACTGTGGCACGGCATAGAGATGTGGAGTTACCACACTACTCGCTGTATGAATGGATTTGCAGGAGACACAAAGAAAGGACAGAAAGAATGATGGCCAGACTAGAAGGCAGAAGTCACATTCCTCTTCTTTCTTGATCCTACGTCTTCCAGTAGTTCCTATATCTTCACATAATTGGAGAGGCACAGCATGTAGGTACAGGAGAATGGCAACCACACTCCTCCCTATAATATAAAAACCTGGTCTGTAAGAGGAAGGAGGCAGTTCCTGATAACTGCTACATGTGAGTCAAAGCATAATTGGGATTGTCCTTCAATCTGGGTTTGGCACAGTCTTCCCACCCTATAAATCTGAGGGCCAGAAATTATTATTAGTGCTTGGGTCTAGGAGTGTCAGTGAAATTTAACTGAGGGAAGGAGACGAGCTTGGATATAGTCAGGAAAGGACACAGTAACTACATGGACAATTTCCATTACTGCATGAGTACAGAGTTGGGAGAAATCAAAAAGTTTCAACTATTACAAGACCAAGGAGAGTGCGACAGCCAAAGTTAATTCTTGTTATTACCACCCAGTTGCAGCAATGGAAGGTATGGGACCAGAAGAAAGAGTACAAACTAAACTGAATGCAACTGGAAACCTGGTAAGCTGGCACATCTCCCAGTTCTGTAGGGTTTGTTTGGAGCATCAGTATACGTAGTAGTAGTAGTAGTAGTAGTAGTAGTAGGAGGAGGAGGAGGAGGAGGAGGTACATACCAATCTGCTGAGAAAGTTCAATGAGTTCCATCTCAGTAGGCATGTAGCCCATAGTTCGCATACATTCTCCCAGGTCCTTGTAGCTGATGTAGCCATCACGGTCTTTATCAAACTCCCGGAAAGCTTCCCTTAGCTCTGGAAGGAAATGAAAGACAGTAAGAACCTTATTCATCATTCTTCCACGTCTGTTGATTACCCTTGCAAATCAGGAACTTCAGCTATATCTTGCAAAGAGCCCATAAACAGTGGCAAACTGGGCAGTAGACTGAAGAATATGCTTACATAGCAAATGAGGTACTGTACTTCAGCAACATTCCTATTTCATTTGGGAGCTGGATGCTCCTTTGCTGGACGTTTTCAAGTGGCGCCTGGACGACCATCTTTCGGGTATGTTGTAGGGCTATCTTTCGGCTATGCTCCCGCAGAGTGCAGGGGGTTGAACTAGATGACCTGCAAGCTCCCTTCCAACTCTAACATTCTAAGATTCTATGAAATATGGGCTGAAGCTATCAACACAGCAGTGTATTTGCACAATAGAGTACCCTCAAAAATAACAGGAACCACTCCATTTCAGGCTTGGTTTGGAAAGAAGCCTGGACTAAAGCATATCAAAGCTTTTGGTTCCAAAGGGTATGCTCACATATCAAAAGAGAAAAGGGGAAAACTTGACCCAGAGTTGAAATTCGACTTGTAATTGGGTATCCTGTTGGTGGAAAAGGATACAGGATATTTTTGTTGTTGTTCAGTCACACAGTTGAGTCCGACTCTTCACGACCCCATGGACCATATCATGCCAGGCCTTCCTGTCTTCTGTCGTCCTCCGAAGTTTACTTAATTTCATGTTCATTGCATCAATAACACTGTCTAACCATCTCATCCTTTACCGTCCCTTTCTTCTTTTACCTTCAATCTTTCCCAGCATCAGGGTCTTTTCCAGTGAATTCTCCCTTCTCAACCCCCAAAATCACACAGTTGGGGAACGCAATGTTATATATGTAGATGAAAGCAACTTGCCATGCGCTTCTAATGCAACTGATCCAAAGAGTTCTGAGACTGCTCCTGAAGAATTGGTTGCATAGTTAACTGTGGCGACCACCGGGGAACCGGCAGATCCACCTTCTGAAGAAACTACCAGAACAGAAGGGGAAGCAGGAACTGCACCAGAGGAGGCAGCAGAACCCACGACAGAACCCACAACCAGTGTGAGACGATCAGAAAGAAGTACTAAAGGGCAGCCACCAATGAAATATGGATTTTGTGAAACTGTACAATCTGCAAAAGAACCTAAGAACTGGAAAGAAGCATGCAACCTGCCTGCAAATAAAAGAGACAGATGGATTAAAGCAATGGAACAGGAAATACTATCCATATATGAGAAAGAAGCATGGACTCTTACAGAGTTACCTCCAGACAGAAAGCCTGTTGGATGCAAATGGGTATTCAAAATCAAGCATAAAGATGATGGGACTGTAGAATTATACAAAGCACACCTAGTAGCCAAAGGTTATTCACAAGAATATGGGACTGACTACTTTGAAACTTACCAATCATGCAATATTCAGAACACTTCTTAGTGTTGCTGCATCAAGAGACATGATTGTAGAGCATCTGGATATAAAGACAGCATTACTCAATGGAGAACTATCTGGGGAAATATTTATGGAACAACCTAAGTGTTTCAAAGTCAAAGGACAAGAAAATTATGTTAACAGACTCTATGGACTAAAATAAGGAGCAAATTACAGGACTATTGCAGAAACAAGGCTTTGAGCAAGGGAAAGCTGAACCTTGCCTGTATACTAGAATTAAAAATGGACAATAGCAGTACATTCTTGTTTACACTGACAACTTGATAGTGTCTTGTCAAAACAGAGAGGATATTAAAGAGATAGCTGATGGACTGGACAAGGAAGTAGAAGTCCGACAGCTTGGAGACGTAAAACACTACCTCGGAATGCAAATTGAGAGACTCGAGGATGGAACCTTTCTTCTATGCCAGAAACGAAAGATTATGGACTTTATAGAATCTATTGGTATGAAAATCTGCAAAGTGTCATCCATACCACTTGAACCTGGATAGCTAAAGGAAAAGGATGGAACACCTCTCAGAGACATTGGAGAATACAGAGAAGCAGTTAAAAACCTTCTCTACTTGAGCAAAACCACGAGGCCTGACATCATAGCAGCAGTTGGCATCTTATGCAGAAAAGTGAGTTTGCCTAACCATCATGACTGGAGTGCAATAAAGAAACTGGCAAGGTACCTGAAAGGCATAGTAGACTTAGAACTGAAAACTGCACCATCTGAAAGGCCAAGACTAGTCAGATATATGGACGCCAACTGGGGAGAAGAATCGAACAATTTCAAGTCAACAAGCGGATGTCTATTCTTCTATGGAGATGGACTAATAGACTGGACTAGTAGGAAGCCAGAGGTCATTTCGGGGGGGAACGCAGGGGAACGCAGTTCCCCCGGGTGAGGTGCAGGGAGGCGGGGCACATGACGAAGCCCCGCCCCCTGCTTCCAGCCGCCCCTTGCTTCCAGCCCTCATTCAGCCAGGAGGAGGCAAGAGAAGAGGGAGGGTAAGTTGCTTCCTCCCCGCCTCTCCCCACCCCTGCCTGCCTGGGGCCAGGGAGGGCCTTGGCGGGGCTTCCTCGCACTCCCGCTGGCCTTGCAGGTCCACCGCCGGGCCCCTGATGTCAGGGGGTGTGGCATATGCTAATGAGTTATGCTAATGAGTTCCCCTAGCTCTTTTTCTACGAAATGACCCCTGTAGGAAGCAAACTGTTGTGGCACAGTCTACAGCAGAAGCTGAGTGTGTCTCAGTGCCTGCAGTAAACTTGAATGGATTTTTCATTTGTTGAAGGACTTTGGAATAAGAGAACCTGTACCTGTAGTTATATTTGAGGACAATCAAGCTTGTATTACTATATGCAAGGGAGAAAGCACCACAGTGAAAAGTAGATCTATTGGAATTAAGTGTGCACTAGTGAAAGATCAGTACCAGAAGGGGCTAATCGAGATTGAACATTGTCACACAGAGGAAATGGTGGCTGACATTTTGACTAAGCCACTGACCAAAGAAAAAATTGAATGTGGTTTGTGAAATGTTGAATATGGTTGATGCAAATGTTAAAGTGAATCATGAGTGATGTTTGTTGTATGTGCATGTATAATGACTTACATGTTAGACCTTGAGAAGGGGTGTTGGAAATATGTGTGTTGCAATGCCTAAATTCAGTCATTATAAGGTTAATGTGTTTACCATGTATGCTATTGTTTAGCCTGACCTGGAAGGGAACCTGGCAAAAAGCCAATGGGGAGAAAGCCCAGGAAACTAGAGTCTATGTACTAACAATCATTGGTTAATGTATTCAGGTGATATCCTTCTAGGGTCAAGAAGAAAGAAGTATCTCCATTACCAACTGTGTGGTCTGACTGTCTGTTGTTGTACTTGTAACAGCAAGGATGTAGTCTTAAGTGTTTGTTGCTTTGTAGATTTCCCGTGTACCCTTCCCTTTAGAGATGAAGATTTTTACATAGAAAGAAAAAGCCTCCTCTCCAGTGAACAAAGATCTATTGCAAACTCTGAATATCTAACTATTTTTACCAAATTTTCCAACAGATCAGAGAAAAAACACAGGATAATCAAGGAGTTTCCTGATTCAGGACCCACTACATGGGAATATCTAAGATACTTAAATGTAAACTCAGATGTTCAGGAAGGTACACCTAAAGAAAGGGTATATGTTGGGATTTTTTTTGGGGGGGGGGAGGTGGTATATTTCCCTCATATGGACTGAACCATGATCAGGATTATGAAGTTCTTCCAGTCTGCTGTGCTGACTACCAATGGGACAATTTGGAGGGCATGTATATCTTGCAAGGATGCACCAAATCAGCACATCATCACTTTGTTGGGCAGGGCATCCCTGGGCTATCTTTTTCTTAGATCCTCTGAGTTGGTATTGAATCCAGCCATGAGGGGAAAGGGCGTGATATGATCCCTTTTGATTTAGCGGTTCAAGCAGTGGCAGTAGACAACAGCCCTGGCTTTCCGAGGAGAAAGAAACCGTAGCGATGCTCATTTTACCTTCAATCTCTTCTGGTCGCAGGTCTCTGTCCTGGCAAAAGAAGGAAAGTGGAGGCTGGTTAAAAGAGTGACAGCCACTCTGTCTAGCTTCACTCACTCTACGGCCTAATACCTTCTGCTACTGATTTCTGTATCCCAAAAATAAGTCTCAAGAAAATCTCTCTCACCCAGCTTGTTCCTTCTAAGGATTCTGTCTGTCCCCTTGTATAGCCTGATCCTATGCATATTTACGTGCAAACGCACTCACTGGAATTTACTCCTAAATCAACTAGCCCGGGGTTTCAGCTTAGTGTGGATGTGTGTAAAGTGCCCTCAGGCCACAGCTGAGTTGGGGTGACCCCAGCAAGGGGCTTTCAAGGCAAGTGAAAAGCAGCTGTGGTTTGCCACAGCCTTCCTCTGCAGAGTCTTCCTCGGTGGTCTTCCTTTAGAGTTGCCAAGCTCCAGGTGGCGGCTGGTGATCTCCTGCTATTACAACTGATCCCCAGGCCACAGAGATCAGCTCACCCTGGAGAAAATGGCCACTTTTGGAGAGCGGACTGTGTATGGCATTGTGCCCCAAACCCCCGTCAGGTTCCACCCCCAAAATCTCCAGGTATTTCCCAACCCGGAGCTGGCAACCCTGCCTCCCTTTCAGGCACCAACCCTGCTTAGCTTCCGAGATCTGATAGGATTGGGCTATATCATGCCAACTTTCCTTACCCCAGTTTAATGGTACATCAACATTTGGTTCCACTTGCAAGAATCATTTCTGAGTACGATGACTACAGATGACAGGAAGTCCCTCCTGTTCTCTGCCCAAAGACACCTGGGGTGAAGGCTGCCCTTCTACTCACAGGTCCTTGGTGTGAAGCTAATGGATATGTGTGGTTGAAAGCTGGTGTAACAGAGTGGCTAAAACTCTGAGCCACTCATCAGGAAGTCTTTTGTTCAGATCTTGCCTCTATCATGATCCCAGTCCCTCCTAGCCTCAGCCTTCCCACCACCTTCCACAAACATGAGGATAATGCTATTTTATTTATGTGTTAGATTTTACCCTACCCTTCCTCCAGGGTGGAAAGCATGGTTGGGGGCAGAACACCCCATTTTATTCTTACAACATCTCTGTGAGGTTGGTTAAGGATAGAGAGAATGACTGGCCCCAATCACCCATAAGCCCCACTGCTGAGCCGAGATGTAACGCAGGCCTCCCCAGCCTTAGAGCAACTCTCCAGCCACCTCATCACTACGCCACCACCCTCCTCCTCCTTAAAAGGTTGTTGGAAGGATCACCGCAAGATAATGTATGTGGAACACTCTGAACTCTGTAGAGCACTATATTGCTACTAAGAATTGTTAATTTTTATCATCAAAACAGGCCACTTACTGTCTGGCTCTTATCCTGTGGGAGATGGATTCAATGAAGCAACCTCTCCACTAGCCAGTCTCCATGTAAGAAAAGATTTATATGCTGTAATACATGAGTTGTGGCATTAATATTTTTTCCACAAATGCATGGATTGAACAGCCACTGCGCAGGTCAGCTGCCAGCTGAATACTTATGGCACTTAGGTTGTATTTTATATGCTACAGGGTACATACTTATTCCTGTGTGGAGCTTAAGTTCCATGGAGGAAACAGTGATGCATGAAGAAACCTGAACCAAACTTCAGTGCAGAACTCTCCACTGAGTGGTGGGAGGGGCAGAACGATGGCTGTGTGCAGTAGCAGCACATACACATTAGGAGGCCATGCTGTGGTGTACCATATAATTACAATTATTATTATCATATGGCATTGTGTGTAGAATAGCTAGGAGATCCTAAGATTGTCTGGCAACCAGAAATTCTAGCTCTTTCAACATTATGCACCACTAGGTAGCGAGCTAGACTTGTTTTTTAAAGGCAAGAGACTTTCAGAGGTGGTTTTGCCATCACCCACGTCTGCATCACAACCCTGGTATTCCTTGGAGGTCGTCCTTCCAAATACTAGCCAAGGCCGATCCTGCTTAGCTTCTGAGATCTGACGAGATCGGGCTAGCCTGGGCTACCCAGGTCAGGGTTGTGCCGTATAAGTAATGTGATGATGGAAGTGCAATACGTACGATCTGTGTGATGGCGATGCTCTGGCGCAAGAAGATGCAGGCTGGCCCCACCAACCCATGCAGCACTGAATAACTCTGCAGTGGCGGACAGTGTGTGCCATCAACCATATCGTCCAGGTCACTGGTGGAGGCTGGAGAGCCCGGAGCCTCTGAGGGATGTTTATTCTCCTGTGGCATAGCTTGCAATTAGCAGCTAAATCTGGTTAGAGAGCATCATCCCCCCTTTCCCACAAGGACTGGGCGCTTAGGGAATGCTAAGGAAGGGATGAAGACAAAAGAACCAAGAACTGGGCACTGAAGATATACAAACAGGTGCCTGAAAACATTTCATGTTCCTCACTCATAAATCTCTCTCACTGACTCAACACCACAGCCCACTAGGTAAACACTACAGTGAGATCTGCACACAGTCTCCAGCCCTACCATGAGTCAGATGGCAAATCATAAACAGCAGTCGCAACACTTACATGCCTTAATCCCTGTTGGAGTGCAGGTATGCGCCTACAGTAAGAAGTCAGTAAAAAGGCCAAGGCAGAAGGTGCTTTCCAGGCCTTTGTGGGGACCAGTCCTGAAATTCCTGGATATTCTGTGGTGGAGTCTACGGAAACCAGAGTTTGGGGAGGGGAGAGGCTTCAGCGGAATAGAATGCCACAGAGGCCACCCTCCAAAGCAGTTATTTTCTCCGGGGGGGGGGAGATCTGTTGTCTGGAGTTCAGTTGTGATACGCGGCGATCTTCAGGCTCTACCTGGAGGTTGGTTACCCTAGGTGTAGCAGTTAGCACTTTAGAGCAGGGTCTGCCAGATCCAGGTTCTTGCTGTGGAAGTTGAGTGGGTGATTTTGGACCAGTCACAGACTTTCAACCTAACCTACCTCACAGGCTTGTTGTACAGATCAAAAGGAGGAGAGGAGAATGATGTAAGATGCTTTGGTCTCCACTGTGGAGAAAGACTTTTCCTCCTGGGGAACCATTGCTGCCAATCTCCAGGTGAAGGCTGGAGATCACTCAGAATTAAAACTGCTTTCCAGATGACAGAGATAGCTTCCCTGGAGAAAACGGCTGCTTTGCAGGGGGGCCTCTGTGACATTATACCCTGCTGAGGTCACTGCCCTCCTGCTTGGGTCCCCACTGTGGAGAAGAACTGTAGTTTTCCTAGGTAGAGGCTACAGGGAGGGGGGAAGAGATGGAAACCTGAAGTCAGAGGGGCAGATAACAGTATGTTGATAGTTGGCTGGGAAGGAAATAGGGTTGCCAACTCCAGGTTGGGAAATTCCTGGAAATTTGAGGGGTGGAGCCAGGAGAGAGTGGTGTTTGAGGAGGGGTGGGACCTCAGACAGGTACAAAGCCATCGACTCCACCCGCCAAACCAGCCATTTCCTCCTAGGGAACCATTGTTGCCAATCTCCAGGTGAGGGCTGGAGATCACTCAGAATTACAACTGCTCTTCAGATGGCAGAGATCAGTTCCCCTGGAAAAAACGGTAAGCTCTGTGTCATTATACCCGGCTGAGGTCACCACAGCAAATTGATGCTGAGTGCCCAAGGCCAGGACACCCACCCAGAGCCTCTTTCCAAATCTCGTTGTATTTATTTCCACAACGGGCCTTATTCCTAGTTAAGATATAAAGCAGCAATTTCGGTCAGTGCAGGTCTACATTATTGATTTAGACTGACTGAATAGCCATGGAGACATTTATGGATCTTTAGCAGAGAATTCTCAGCATGTCTCCAAACAATGATTATTTGAGGGAAGTTTTGACCATGAAATTAATATAAAACTGATCCACCGATGTAGGGTAAATATGCCCCTTATTCTCTCTGAATAAAACACTAAATAACCTTCTAGCAAGTACCAACTTATTCTGGTGGATGTATAGCCACATGTGGAGCTAGTGATTGGTATTTATTTATCTAAAACATTTTTAGCCCTCTTTCTTCCTTATGGAGCTCAAGGCTCCATAAATAAAACATGTAAAACAAAGTACATTAAAAACATAAAAGCCCAGATTCAACATCACAACTCTGGACTGCTAGGGAACTTAACCAAATGCACTCCTTAATAAAATTGTCTTCAGCTGCCTCCTAAAGACTGAGAGTGAGGGGGGGGCCAGGTGCACACCTCCCCGGGGAGGCTGCCCCATAATTGTGAGGCTGCCGCTGAAAAGGCCCTCTCTCATGTACCCACCAAGCAAGCTTTTTTGATTGATGGGACAGCCAGGAGGGTATTTCCCTGTGATCTTAGTTCCCAGGCAGAAACATTAGGGAGAAAGTGGTCCTTCAGATACTCAGGTCCCAAGCCATGTAGGGATCATTAGTCCATGTGGCAAAGAAATTTCCCCTTTTAGGTTCTGAATCATTTGCATTTCCGAATAGTTGCAAGAGGTGTAACAAAATTCTTCTCAACATATGATTGGATGATACAGATATGGTTACTTATTGGCTAAATAGCTGCCATGGTAAGTTATTCCTTAGTAAAGGACCATCTGAATTTACCCTCTGTATTTCACACATTCTCCAAGTTCCTTTGAGAAATATACACGTCCTGCTACACAAATTCGCCTTGACACCTACAAGAACTACAACAATATGTATCCTAGAACCAGCATTTATGCATACACATACTGCTTGGTGTTTTCCTTCTTGGCCAGCCTTGCCTCAGTTTCACCAATGGGCCCTGAACTTATGGGACTTATACGGTGTCTTGATAATGACACAGACAAGATTACTAAGAGAAGGACAGAAGCTTATACCAGTGCTAACCTATTCAGATCTCAGTCCTATCCCAATGTCTCCAGTATACAAAACCTCAAAAGTCTCTCTCTGTAACCCTGCTTGCCTCAGAAAAATGCCTTTGAAACAGACAGAGGAACACTAGTAACAGCACCCAAACACATCCCCTCCCACCCCCAAGAAAGGCACATATCCAAAAACACACATAAGTATGTCCTAACACTCACAATTAATAGCCTGTATATATAATATCTTCTTACTCTTGAGCAGTGACAGGTAAGAAGACATGTATAATGGTCTGAGAAATCACAACAGTTATACTTCTAACAGGGCTGTGTGTGTGTGGCAGTACTCATCATGGGTACAGAGTACCAGCACCTTTTGGGGGGGCCTCCTGAGTCTTGAGAGGGGATTTTGTGGAAATCAGTGCAAATATATATGTGTACCGGCACCTTTTCTTTTTACAAAATAAGTACTGGTTCTGCAGGCTACAACCTGTCTTTGTAGTCACATTCTCTTGATTGCAGTTGGGTTCAAGGATGTTAATCACTAACTGGAGGTCCAGATCTAGATCCTGGGCTTTCACCTGTCCATCCCATTCTAGAATTACCACTGTTTTAATTTAGTTCTAGTAGAACATCAGCATTTTCCAGGGCATGCTTATTCCTCAGTGAACTTATGCCATGCATGTCCACAGTCTGTCTCCTTTTCTGGAACAACTAACAATGCTATTTCTTTTTATATCCTGTCACCAAGATGGTACAGCATCGTACAATTTCTATGCACTACTACTTGATGTTCCTAAGACCTGTACCCATGTACAGACATGCACTGATACGCCAATGCCTCCCCCTGCTCAGTTCATGGTTTGGCATCAGTATACAAAGAAATTCGTATATGCCATTCACAGAGCTCTTCTCAGCCTCAGGTGCTGAGAAGTTGACCCTTCAGAACATACAGGAATGTGGAAGATGCCATTAATAGCCATAATCAGTTCCTGCAGTGTCTATATTCTCTTGAGCATGGCAATTCCAGGCTTCTTCTACCTCAGTTTACCCAAACCAAATGACAATGAGTCCTGCTTGAATAGATACTGATCTAAGGAGGACTAATTGTAGGTGAGGGGTGGAGAGAAGCAATCTTTTCAGCCTACTGCACACAGGCAGACACCTGGCTTCATTATACTAATCTGGTACCTCAGGGAGAGAACCTGGGGGTGACTGAATTGGACTCAGGGCCATGGGAAGCTGAGGCTGAGTGGTTAAGGATGTGGTACTACAGAGGTCTAGCCACCAAGTACAACATTTTTGCTGTGTCTTCTCAGGCACAGGAGAACCTCAAGCCCAGGACTTCAGCCACTGACAGGGATCAACATGCAGGGTCTGAGAAATGAAGGAAGTACAGACAGACACACAAAGAACCAGCCACAGACAGGGATACAGCAGGGCTCAACACAAAGATGAAAGGGGCCACCCTCCCTCCCTCCCTCCTCTCCCCCTACCTTGGAGAGCCGCCTGCCTGGGGTTTTGGTACAGTTGCCCATGGCTGCTAAGGCCCCCCCATCCTGCAGAGCATAGTATGGGGCTGGAGGCGGCTGGCACCGAAGGCAGGGTGTTTTTTAATAGTAACAAGTGATTCTCTTCCTGGGAGGTTTAGACGCTTTGGGGATTTTCAGGGTTTTTATTGTTGAATATCTCCAGAATATTAAGGGAAAGTGAACAGAGCGGGGGAAGGGGAGGGCATGGGCCAGAGCCATAATCCTCAGGATTATACGCAACTCAATCATAGATGGTGCTAAAGCAGAAAATGGGGGACAGGCAGCTCTTCCTTATAACCGTCCAGGCCTGCAAAGTCCCCTCCTTCGCCCTTGCCTCCGTCCCAAAGCCCCTCTCAGGCTCAGAGGCAGTCACAGGCAGTCGTGGGGCTGTGGCCCACCAGCATCTCCCCCTCTCTACGAGTAGGAAGACCATAATCTCCTTTGACAATCACAGAGATTTTTCAAATCTTTGCTCCAGGGAGTGGCCGTTTTTGCTGCGCTCTGACAACACTGCCAGGCAGAGGAGGGGGCGTGGGAAACGAGCTTGTCAGTCAGGCTTAGCGGTTGGGTGCAAGATGTGAACCAGCTAGTAGGATCCACTGTATTTATAGACTCATAGGGTATTATCACCAGTGACATAAAGAACAACTTTTAATCTCTAATGTATCACTTGTGAATGCTGTTAAAGCAAGACAGAACCTGGAAGAGAGCCATTTGAAATTCAAATATAAGCTCTGATCTTAGGAACACTTTCATTTCCTCTATAGTCCGATCTCGGAAAGTAGAACGGAATCCTGTCCATCATCTATGAAAACAGCTATGGTGTTGGCAAGTGTGCTTAAA